TAAGACTTTGTAAGATTTAGTGGGATTTCTAAACAAAAAACCTTATACCAAATCACTTAAAATCCTACCTCAAGACTTAAGATTTCATAGAATTCCTCTAAAGTCTTAAAATCTTAAATAGTCTCAAATTTTAAAAAGTCTTAAAATGTCACTTAAAATCCCAATTGAATTTCAGATTTTGGATAAATGTTGTGAAATAATAAGTCTGGAGGTGGGATTTGATGTGGGATTTCGTATAAGATTTATTTATTAGAATCCTACCAAATCTTTAAAAGTCTTTACAAATCCTAATGTCAAATAAGGGGGTGTATTCAATTCGGAATTTAGGTGACATTTTAAGACTTTTCGAGATTTGAGACATTCTAGGATTTTCATATTTTGGAAGAATTCTATGAAATCTCAAGTCCGGAGGTAAGATTTGAAGTGGGATTTCATATAACGTTTTTTGTTTAGAAATCCTACTAAATCTTGAAAAGTCTTAATAAATCCTAGTGTCAAAAAAATTAAATACCTCAGGATTTTGTAAGACTTTTGAAGATCCCAATTGAATACCCCAGGATTTTTACAAGTTTTAAAAAGGCTTAACAAATCTAAATTAAATACACCAGAATTTCTAAAGTCTTAAAAAATCCTTAAAAATCCTAATTAAATACACCCTCCTAAGTTTATACTCAGGATTTTGTAAGACTTTTTAAAATCTTAATTGAATACCTCAAGACTTTTAAAAGTCTTAACAAATCTAAATGAATACACCAGGATTTTTAAAGTATTAAAAAGTCCTTAGAAATCCCAATTGAATACACCCTCATACTCAATAAACCACCAATGCACATGCAAATTTGAATATCAAACCATAGTTAGTGAAATAATTCTGAGAGGTTATTTTAGATACTTTTAAACAAATTGTTTAGATTTTTTTTTACATACTCTATATATATACACATACACAGATGTTAAATTTAATTATTTTCAGACATGTTTTCTTCACAAAACAGTTTAGAAAAATTTTAGGTTACTTCACATCTTTCACAGATGAGAAAATGTTTTTAGACATTTTTTCTTTACAAAATAGTTTAGAAAAATTTTAGGTGACTTCACATCATTCAATAATAATATAGAAAATTTTAGATATTTTTACATATGTTATATAATATTTTAGGTGTTTTTAATATTTTAAACACACATTTTTATGTTCTTTTATACAAGATAGTTTTATATTGTTTACAATAAACTAATATACGGTAAATTATATCTTGACCCCACATCTTTGATTTATAACTAATATTTAATATTGTTTACCTTTATCTTTAATTTATAATTTTTAGTTAATATTGTTTACCCTCATCTTTAATTTTTTTTTCCTCGAACGATAGAGAATTTTATAAATCGAAACGCACAAATATGCAAATATACAACCGCTACTTGAATTAAACAATCGACAGCTGAATAAACCGGGAGGACTGGTCAGAAGACCGCATGTATCCGACACTAGCAACACTAGAAACCAAAACAAGACTCAGGACACGACCAATTCGACAAACACTAATAAAAAAGTACAAAGCTCCCAATAGGAGAATAGAACTATCCCAAAGGGATAATCGCACAGAGGCCAATAGCCTAAACGAAAAACACAAGAAAAAAAAAACACTAACACAACCAACACAAAACGAACGAAAACATAAAAACTATATAATCAACAGACAAAGCCCTTCCCCAGCATAACAAATGGGCCGAATCAGCAAAGAAACAATCGATTCCACAGTGAGATCCAAAGATCGAGGAACCGCTTCTGAAACTGCCGAACCGCCCCCAACTGGAGGAACAACCAACTGACTACCCACACCAGCACAACCCGAACTCATCTAACACCACTAGTCGAACGCGGATGCACCGGATCCCCCCTGTTCCAAGCACTAGAGAACCGATGAGGTGATAATGGCTCAGTCCCTCAACTTCGACCGCCCCGACGCAGGACGTCACAGCCGTCAAAGCCACGCCCCACCCACAGACGCATACTCCGCCCGACGCCAACACAGATTCGGGAAGCCGACGACCATGGCACCTCAAGACCCATCCTGAAAAGGCGAAGCTGTTCGCAGCGTCCAAGGCACACAACGTCCGAGGGGTAATCGCGACAATCCCCCATCGCATCATCACTAGAGGAGCAGAACATCCGGGATGGGCCGGGCAATCAAGGTCGACCGCTGGCCAGAGCTCCGCCGTCGCCGAGGAAGGCAGATCTACCGAGAAATTGGAAGAGCCGCCAGTGGAATTTGGGGGTTAGGTATCGCGAGAGCGCAGAAATATTAGGTTAAATTCCCTCATCTTTAATTCATTTATCTTTTTTACTTTCTCTTTTAAAAAATGATCAATAGTGGTTCCTCAGTTACGTGACTCAAACTCGAGACCTATTTATAATTATTATTTAATATGTTTACCCATGCATCGCAGGGGCTACACACTAGTAGTTATAATATCAATAAATCATTTTTGCACATTACAGTAAAACCTCTATATATTAATAATGTTGGGACCGGATGATTTTATTAATTTATAGAGATATTATTATATCGATAAATTCATAATTTATTAATTTAAAGAGGTTTTAACGTAAATGCACAATTGATCTTCAAAGTTCTAAATTCTTTGAATAACTTTAAGTATACATGCATAGTTATTGATGAAAATTAAGTTAAAATACAAATGTACTAGTAGAATTCCATAAACACAAACTCACGTGGAAGTTGGAATGACTTGTTTAAATTAATTGGTTTTGGAAAATTCTAAAATATGGTTCATTACTAAGTTGTCTTAAGAATCTTCAAGTGCTTCATATATATACGAATTATTTTTAATAATTATTAATTTATAGTTTCGTTGGGACTAATATATACACACTGGGATCTTAAAAAAGTTATTATCTTATAATTTTATTGATTGGGTCCCAAATTTTTACTGGTCCCAACTTGGGGCCGGACAAATTATTAGTTTTAGCAAGATTATTAATTTATCGAGTATTAATTTAACGAGGTTTTATTGTACATCAATTTTAATTCAATATTTATCAACTCACATAATTTCAACTAACCATCACTTCACATCATCGTTCTCCTACTTTTATATCAAATCAATTTTAATTAATTTATTTTAAATATTATTTTCATATAAACTCAAAATTCTACTAATATCTAATTATACCGCATTTTTCAAAACTAATTAACCAAAAAAAAACTTTTTAAGCAGATATATTTGTATCCAAAAACAAATTTTATTTATTTTGCTATATAATTTAGGCTACATGCGATCAATTCTTCTAAGTTCAACTTTTATGACGGTTTAATTTGGCAGTACAAACTATTGTATAGTTTTGTTTCATTAAAATAAAACTATAGTTTAATTTTGATATTGAGACCTTAGAAGTGTGTTTGTATGTAAACTAATTCAATTCATACTCAAAATCTAACTCAACTCTAACTCAGCCCCACTATCCTCAATATTATCAATATAATTAAATAATATCAATTAATAATTTTTACTCTATCCTATCAACTTTAATTCACTATTCATTCACACACATAATTATAACTAACAATCACTTTACATAATTTATCTCATACTTTTATATCAAATCAATTTTAATTATTTTATTTTAAATAATATTTTAATATAAATTCAAAATTTCACAAATAACTAAACATACTATTTTTTTAAAAAATAAACATGGTTAACAAAAAAAAGTCACATTCAGGCTTCAACAAATATATTTGTATCCAAGGAATCCAAGCACCGGTTTTGCTATGGAGTCATCGGATGACTCGACTTATGCAGTCATCTATATTTATTCACAAATGGTGTACTGATACTTGTCATGCAATAAATAAACATTTGACACATGTCAGTACATAAAGCTATGGATTGCTCCATAAGTGAGCCATCAGATGCCTCCATAGAATTTATGAGCGAAGCACACATTAGATGATTAGAATCCCTATGTTTCAAGGGTATTTTGGTGATTAAACTAAAAATTGAAAAAGAAAAATGAAGATGAAATGGCATTTATAAACCCCAACCCTAACTATTAGTCTAATAAATTAGAGGAGCGGCTGCCGCAGTTTCTCAGTTTCTCTCCTGGAGAAAAATTTGTTGATTAATCCGGTACACACTGCTTTAAAAATCTGTTCTTAATGTAACATAACCGCTGCAGATTTTCTGATATTACCTATATCTACTGCATCTTGTTCATATTTTGTGTTTTAGTATTTGAGCTAGGAAAACATCAACTTTATCGATGATTTATGAATGGAATGTTGTGTCTATTATGGTTACACGAATCTGGTTCACGGTCTTTGAGTCGTTTTTTTTATCATATTCACTTGTTGCATTTAGAGTATGTATGTATCCCTCTCGGAAAACCAAAAATCTGTTGTTCGTTTGGGGATTAGATTCAACTTCGTTGGCTTGCTGACACATTCACATTTATTGAACTAGACTTGAACCAAAAGTGTGAAAGCTTTGATTATCTTAGCATATACAAGTAGAGTCCAATGAAAGATATTTATTTACATATCTATGTTATGCTTCTGAAACTATAGTATATGGGCTCTTCATGTCTGGGATGTTAGGTTGAACGGTATATCAACAAAATTTTAGTGCATATGTCATTGTTTGCAATAAGATGTAAAATTGGTCAAGGACTTTACTGGCACTGACTTTCTTTACTTTATGGTTGTTTGTTTTCTTTATTCATAGTTTATGTACCCTTCCACAAAATTTTGAATCATATTGTACATTCGAAACCCGTCCAGTAGATTTTGCATCATTTATTTTACACACTTCTGTACAATTTGATAGATGTGATGTGTTCGGCAAATGTAAAGCTCCACTGATGCTTTATATGATGTATTGCTTATAATTCTGTAGTTTGTGGTGTATAATTACGTATGAGAATTGAATATCAGTCTTTATTTATCATCCTTGCTGATATTTCCTGTTATATTCAATCAGAGTAGCTTGAAAAAATGGGGAGAGTAAGTGTCTTGAATGATGCTTTGAAGAGTATGTACAATGCCGAGAAGAGAGGCAAACGTCAGGTCATGATTAGACCTTCCTCAAAGGTCATCATCAAGTTTCTTCTGGTGATGCAGAAGCATGGTATGACTGTACCTAATGCAGGATTTATTTCTTTTAATTTTCTCTTTTATTTCTGGATTTCTTTAATTTGTTATTCCTAGCTTTACAGGATACATTGGCGAGTTTGAGTATGTTGATGATCACAGGGCTGGAAAAATTGTTGTAGAATTGAATGGAAGACTCAACAAATGTGGGGTCATTAGCCCTCGTTTTGATGTTGGTGTTAAGGAAATCGAGCCCTGGACTGCTAGACTGCTTCCATCCAGACAGGTATATAGGAAATGCTGAAACAAGATAATATACTCATTTTACATATCTTATTTGTTTTTATTGTTTGAAATCCCCCCATTTCTACATAAGGAACACTAACCTGCTTTCTGAACCTTGGGACGTACTGGCTTGTTAAATCTTTGTTTTAATATTATGAATTTGTCAAATTCATTGAAATGTAGACGTTGCGATATTTATTAATTAATGAGCTAGTTTTAGAAGGAAAGACTAAGTGGTTTTTGCACCTGTTTATTTTGTGTTATCATTTTATTTAGTCTTATTAAGCAGTCAACTTCTTATCATCTTAAAATTTGAATAATGTCTGGAATAATGTAATGAGAGAATGCTGGTTTCATGCAATGATTTGTAGTTTGTTGGACACTTACTTAATTTATGGATATTGTAAATCCCCCTCTACCCTGAACCACTACATGTGTTGTGTCATAACTGTAAATTCAATCTTTATTTTACCTCAAAAGTCAACATGATTGTAACATTATCTCATATATTATCATGCCTTTTGCAGTTTGGTTACATTGTCTTGACAACATCAGCTGGGATCATGGATCATGAAGAAGCTCGCAGGAAGAATGTTGGTGGTAAAGTGCTAGGCTTCTTTTATTAACCACGACTATTGAAGTTGCATAGAGGTACTCTGGCTTTTTGCATATCCATATTGTGCTGTGGGAAATGTAGTTTCTAGAGATTTTGATTACCTTTTTCCCCTTCCTTTTGTACTGCTGGTTTAAATTTTATGTTTGAGAATGTTGAATATTGTTGCGGATGATTCATTTTTTATTTACTTCTTTTGCAAGAGATTTTTCTGTTTCATTTTTATAGTGGAACTGCTAACTTATTGAAGCAATATGGGAAAATGTAGTATAGATTCCAATGACATTAAGTTGTTCAACTTGGTGTTTAAAATATAGAAGCAAACCCTATCCAACTCAATGGGTACAACTCGGTAAGTCAATGAAAAGATATCACTAGTAATAATTATAGATGCTTATAGTCAAGCTATTGCCTTTATCGTTGTAGTCCAACTAACAAGCCAACAATTTTTGTTACGTACTATTTTATTTTTCCATACTGTAAATGTAGGGCATGTTTGCAAACCCATAAAAGATACAAGAGTGGGAAATTGATATGGCATATTCAATTCATTTGCGGTTAAAGAAAAAGCCTGCTAAATTTTGAAGGCCTGGAAAACTATCTATGATGCCTATGAAGTAATATGCCTATTCCATGATAATTAATCACTTCTTGTTGGTAAGATAATTTTTGTTCACTTTATCTACTCAATTGATTTTACCTATACACTCTCATCAAAGTCAGTATTTTCTTACTTTCTAAGGACTATTTAAGTAAAGTACTCATTTATCAAGTGTTTTCTGACTTGTAACACACATTTTTTTTCTTCCAAATTTTATTATATTGTACATTACTATTGTTACCAAACATGTCAATAAAATGTACTTTTTTAACCTACAATATTTTTTATTGTGAAGTCTAAAATTATAATTTATCTCGTGAGGTTTTGCATATGTGCCCCTAGTAGTATAAGGCTGTAATAAAACCCAAACTGAAAAGGCTCTGTAATAACATATCTACATAATATAATTTGTACATAATGGTGTACAGTACAAGGGGTGTTTGCTCTTTTCTTTTGCACATTTACTCTTCTTTTGTTTCAAGTTTTGTTGGTGTCTATGACTCTATTCCCAGTTCCCATATGCTTTAGGCAAATTCTGAACAACATGCTGCAGTTATATTTTCATATACAAATGTGCTACAATACTTCATTCGTTTGCCTGGTGAGTCTACATTAATATTTCACAACTTACAAATACTAGATGAAATAAATAATTGCCATCAAACCTATATAAAACCCATCGCTTTCTCAACACTAAAGAACTAAAATAAACACCTAACATACGCTTTACCTATTTTATTTCATAGTGGGAGGTGGGGATGACGCGTTTCTTGCCTTTTTATACTTGACTTAGGTTCATCATACCTCAAGGATGAATGTGCAATTGTGGATATATCAAAATGCATAA